TTGAAAATTAATTGCAAGAGTGGCATGGCATGGCATTGCTTCGTTATAATGTATGGGATTGTTTTATATGTCCTTTATAATGTATGGGATTGTTTTATATTTTGTTTGTAATGTATGAGATTGTTTGTAATATGTTTTATTTATTAAAAGTTTGTTGATTAAAAAAAGAAAAGAAGCTCTATTGAAAATATTTGTGATAGTAATAACACATTTTCAAATGAGTGAATAAAAATCGATTTGTGTATCTCGTTAATCTATAGAGTCATCATCAACAAATTTCAATTTATTATCATCAAACGAGTGAAAAGAATTAATGAAATTACTATAAGGTTGTGTTATTAATTTGTTATTTTATTGTACAAGTTGAAAAGTGTTGATGTGCATGTTAAGAAATTAATTGCAAGAGTGGCATGGCATTGCTTGGTTTCTCAGCAATCCATTAAAGTTTGAGTTTATCTTTGGAATTGGTTCATTAAAGCAAAGTAGCTAAATTTCTTTCATTGTTTTTGGTACTTGCAACTCAAGTTTATAAGATGCTAGCTAAAGGAAACCCTATATATATTAACAATATTTATTTTTTGTGCAATTTGTATAGTCTTAAACTTGAATCTTGATGTTGAAAGAATTTCATGTGGTGAGATTAGTTTGTTTCAATTTGTCTTGAGTTTATAACATTGCCTTTTCAATAGAAATAGATTAAAATTAAAATAATTAAAAAAAAGTCTTGTTCATTTAGTAAACAACACACCAAGTGTTTTAATTTTAAACATGTAAAAATGATTCTTTCAAAAAAAAAAAAGAAAAAGCAAAGAGATAAACAAATTGAGGTTCAGTGGGAGGTGAAGTTGTCAATATAAAGGAAATTATTAATTCGTATAACATCAATTCTCACAATATGATATGAATTTGAATTACGAATATAATTTATTTATTTATTTATTAAGTAGACAAATAAAATAATATGTATTTACTTATTTAATTCCATGTGATATTTGTTGGAGGTTTAAATGCATAAAGTGTAGATTTGATGGTGTTGTGATGGAAAAGAATCTCACATCAAAAGAAATTGAGGTGAATATATAAATAGAATATATTGATGTTAGGCAGCATATTTAAAATGACTTTGCTTCTCATATGTATTCGACTTGCTTGTGTATACTTTTTTCTCGCTAATAGATGTGATAATTACTATTTTTGTTTCCAACTTTATTTCTTTTACTTTTTGTAAATTATCAATGTTATAAATAAGTGATCAAATAAAGAAACAAGAGGTTTTATTTTTTTATTTTTAATCAAACAAGCTAATTAGTTAAAATCCTTATAGAAAAGAGAGGTGAGGAGGAAGAAAGAGGATTCAAACCCTAACTATATAAATGAGGAAGTGTTTTATATCAATAATTTGATTAGTTACTCTACACGTCTTTTCAATAACACAAAAGTTAATAATTTTTATTTTGGGATAAACTAATCTAATCCTCTAAAGCCAAATGCGGTCATTGTGGACCAAGATAAAGGAAAATTAACAAAAAGTCTCAAATAGGAGAAAAGAAGTGACTGAGTTGGACATTGAATCTACTCTACAATCCTCAAATCCTTCAAAATGTTACATCAAAATTTCCATTAATTCCAACCCCAACAACCCGATTTTAGTTTACATTTATATTCTAAATTGACTCTTGGAAAAAAGATTAAGCAGGGTTGAAACCTCAATTTGGTCCCTTTACTTTGACCAAAAAAAACCCTTTTTTAGTCCCTCTAATTTAAAAAAAAAAACTCTTTTTCGGTCTCTTAAGTTCAAAATCTAATCATTTTTTAGTCTCTCAGTTAAGTTTTGACATTAAATAATGAAAATTTCAAAGTTAAAGGACCAAAAAGAGGTATTTTTTTTCCAAAGTAGAGGAAACAAATTTGAGCTATATTTAGCCTCCTTTTTAGTCCCTTTTTAGTTTTTCTACTTTGAAATTTCCATCATCTAATATGTCATATGTGCAAAATTTAATGGAAAGATTAAAAATGAGCTAGATTTCAAACTTTAAGAACCAACAAGGGTTTTTTTTTTTAATTAAATGGATTAAAAAAACTTTTTACCAAAATAGAGAAACCAAAATGGGAATTTAACATATTATATATGGAAAAAACTGAATTGATCCTAAGAACATTGCCTTATCAAACACCACCCCTCACATGCCATGTGTCACACCCCCATACATCAATGGCATATTACTCTCCACGTGTTAACTTAAATTAGCGAAAAGGTTCTCTATTGAAAACAATCTTCTGTTCTATATATATATATATGTGTGTGTATATATATGTATGTGTGAACAATTCATATCAATCTCAAATCCCATAAAAAATTTTGGGTCTTAACTTCAAAAAAATCCACTACTCTCTAATAAATATTTTTAAAATTAATAGTTAAATTTAATGTTCAATTCTTGTAGACCATATATGTTAATTTTTAAATTTATCTAATATCTATAATCATTCTTTTAAGAAATTTGTATTTTTTAATATATATTTAATGATGATAAATTTTTTATAAGTAATAAATTAATTATATCTATTCAATCAATCTGAAAATTACATATATGAT